CGTCAAAATACAGTAGACACAACTTAACAGTTACAAAATAATTGCATCCACATAGATGCTTAGTAATTTACAGTAATACTAGAAAAATGTCTGCTCTAAACTGATTGAATCTGTGGTAGCTCCAAAAAACACTGCGGCTTTACATACTCTCTTAGTAGTACATATATAAATGGATGACTTGAATATATCGAAATAGTTCATATAGTCATTATGAGATGAGCACATCGAATATAGCGGTAAATGCATCAGTAGGTTCGATCGTGGAGCAAGTTTGGCCCTTGTTCGTACTCCAGGTATACTGAAATTTAGCTTAGATAAAAATGCTGGCAATTTACGACTTCAAAAAATACTAGAGATCGTATATTCCTTCCAACATCAAGACTGAGAAATCTATGCTTCTGAAGTAATATATTCTGTGATATTCCTATGGGAGGATAGGAACTTCAATAATTTCCAATGACTCAAATAAAGTAACATAGCCTGGGTTCTACATTATTCTTGCATATGCCAGCTTAGAAAGAACAAGTGAATTGTACAAAACTGTAGATGCAGTGGTGCCGCTATCAATAACACTAGTGATCTCAGTTCCCTAACCAAAACCACTTCTAAAGTTTGGCAAACGGATCTGCAACATCGGGGTATCGGTGAGGGGAAAGCAAAACATGGCTGGTTTCATTCATAAAATGCCAGCGGCGTGCGGTATTTTATAAAAGTTTGGGATTATTTCATAATTGGTTTAAATTTAGTAAGCTATACGTTTATGTTTCACTTTAAATTTGGGGAGTATCTCAATAAGCCCACAATGATATGGAGCATTGTCCATAATAATAAATAAAGTCTCGGGTAAACTCAAAAATAGCTGTATCTCTACAATCTACACCATGTAAAAAAACACTTGAGTTTGTTTCTACACTTCAACAAACGGAAAAATGTCTACTCACTTCCCAAATTGCCACAATTCAAAAAATCATGATAACTGCGCGATTTAAAACCTAAATCAAGCTAGCGTTTTTGTCAAAGCCGTAAATAAAATATATTTTTCAAATACAAATAGATACTTAACGTGTTTTTTTACCTTGAGAATATATATATATATATATGTATATATATACTCGTATTATAAATTCGTGATCTTATAATATGCTCATTTACTTTAAAAAGTGCCACAAGCCGAAACATGACCAGAATTAATTTTTATTTTATAATCCGCATCTTTCTGGATTCCTATTGTTGCAATTTTGGACTGTTGATGTGGATATTTCTAGAGCATCGGTGTCGCTTAAGTAGAAACAAAGAACTTTAAACACATTTCATATCCGTTTAACTTATAAGCTCTGTAATAAATAATACTTACATTATACAGCATTTCAAAATTACATTTCACCTATTGAATTAGCATTGGTGTTCGTCAACTTCATCATTATCATTATCGTCACTGTCGTCATCAGTTTCGCTGTCGTCATCTTGCCCTATAGTTATTATAACTGGTTCCATTTCCTCCATAAATTGATCATTTTCCCAAAATTTATCTTCAATGTCCCTAGCATGTTGACAAAATTTCTGCCAATCATTAATGGATATTAAGGACATCGCTTCCTGAGTAACTTCTTTCAGTGCGGTTAAACTGAAGTTTCCAGTGGTATTGCGGCTTCTTATATGAAATTTAAGCTTTGCCCAAGCTAATTCTATTGGGTTTGGCTCGCATAAATAAGGAGGTGTTCTTAGAGGAGTATGTCCATGTGATCTTATGATCCGATCAACTACATAATTTTTTTGGTTGTCAGGGGGCTTATGAAGTAAGACCAGATCGAACAAGTCAAATTTTCTGGCAGTTGCCTCATGATTTATGCCTATAAAATATTTTATTGTATAGTTTGATATGTACATGCATGTTTTGAGTCATAAGTACCTTTCTTTGTCAACCAGGCCATTATACCTTTTTTCGAAGATGATTTTGTCGGGGTTTTATCTTCCTGGACGGAATGATATGGAGCATTGTCAAATACTATAACCGAATTGGCAGGTATATTCGGGAGGAGTTTTTCTGTGAGCCAGCGTGTGAAATTTTCCCGATTCATCTGACCGTGGTAATCGCCTGTAGCTAATCCCGCCTTAAATATCAAACAGGCATTGTCAACAAATCCATTTTCTGAACCTGCATGCACTATAATGAGTCGACCTAAAATATACAAGACGATTATATAATATGTTACAAATCAGAGTTAAATTTAACATATATATATAGCATTTTTGCTTACCTGTAGAACCTATACTGCTTATTACACCAGAAACAGTTTCGCTCTGCCAGCATTTTTTGAACGTCAAGTCATTGTCCACCCAGGTTTCGTCCAAATAAACTATATTGCGCCCTTCTTCACGATATCTACGTATTTCACGGATGTATTTGTACCTCCATTGCAATATATTGGGCCTCTCCATCAAAACTTTTCTTTTATTTTGACATTTGCGCCAAAAAAAAACCATTTGATTTTAATAAACTCCTGAGAGTTTCCCTAGAATAGGGGAAATTTGAGTCTTCTCGCAACTTTTGTAATAACTTCCTAGTTGTCGGGACAACTTTATATTCAAGATAAAATCTGTTTATCAAATGTCTAATAATCTGAAAATCAAAATCTTCATCTTTCTCAACAAGAGACTGACGCGGTCTTTTTTTTCCGGGACTGGATAACATTTTATTCGGGTTATTTTCTAGTCTTTCTTTATCTTCGTTATGAATTTTCCTAACAGAAGATACTCCGACTCCGGTATAAAGGGACACCCTATCAAGCTTACGTTTAAGCGGCAACTTGAGGGAATTGTTTGCCGCTTCCTCATCGCAAACCCTATAAATAATCATCAGAATGTTAGCTTAGCATTTCCTTGTTTTTTATTTATATTCAGACTCAGTCGTCAAAAACTACAATTATTGCATATTATTATTACTAACCTATAAACATTCGCAATCACTTCTCTTGTTTGGCTATGAAGCGTCTTTCCGCGAGTAAATTGGTTCATTTTAAAAAAATAATACTAAAACGAATAACAATATCAAATAACAAAACACTAAACTATTCAAAAACACACAGCACTAAACATACAAACTTAATAGAACAATAAATAGTTAACAATAATAGTTGTAAAACTCATACACGGATAAAACCTACGCCACTGGACTTTTCAATAGTATGGATATTCTAAGAAAGGAGCAAAAAATTGTCTGGGACGCTACCCAATAGGGAGTCGAATTTTCTCATGGCGACAAAACATGTGAGGATATCCGCCAATCAGATTCGTTTAGGCGGTGTACAATATACCTTTCGGGTGGTTGTTGCCAGCTCAACCGATGTAGATAAGATCTTTGGAAAAATGTTTACTTATAATACGATTCAGTAGTAAAAAATAGTTAGTAAATACAAATAGAGCTAACAACCCATTAAAATTCTCAGTATTTTGAATTAATATTTTTTGGAATTGTGAAAAATCGATTTTCAAATCATTGAAATTACTTTTATTATTATTATTGCTTTTTTGTAGTTAAATTTGGCAATATCGAATATTTTCGGTCGCATTCCTTTCGCTGTTGCAGATCCGTTTGCCAAACTATATATATGACGGTATTTGTTTTCCAAGTCAATACTTCGTCTGTCTTTTTTTAGTCTCATACCTATGATTAAATTTCTTTTGAGAATCGTTGTTTTTGTACTGTAATACGAACAGGCTGTAGGGATATGATATTCTAGTATCGAACATTTTTGTTTGAGTTAATAGCTCATGGGAAGGGTAAAAGCTTGGTCTTTGCACATAACCTTTTGATAATGCAGTTTTGCTCCACTTCAAAATTATGGATAAAGGTGCCATGTACGAGAGGTGACTGTAGAAGAATATGTTTCTGCATTAGGAATGGTGATAACTGTCTAAACCAATCAATAATTTGTATATCCCACTTGAGATTAGTGTCTACTTACTAAACACCGAAGTATGTTCTGTGACGGTCAGCGAATTGTACTGGGACAAAACTGCCCTTTGAATAGTTGATCGTCAATAAAGGAAACTTTATTCAACATACAATGACGGTCTCGCCTGCAAAGCCCAGTATTATACAGTTGGTTTTGTTTAAGAACAAATCATTGGTATAAGAAGGATCGGCCTCAGTACAGCGCTGTGAGGCAACAACCCCAAAGTCGCCAGCTCTACTTTGAATTTTCACAAATTGCTTCCTGCTGCTCAAATAGCTAGAAAACAAATTCAGTGGTAGGTTATGAAAGTTTTGTATTGCCACCCGTATCAAAGGCCTTAGCTAAGTTTACAAACATTTGAGAAGTCCTTAGATTCATCTTAAAACATTCTTCTCAATTACTGCAGTCGAGTTGTTCGTATTTTTTAAAAATGTACTAGTTTAAGTATCTATTTTGCAATGCATATAATATTTCACATTTTATAAATCAATCGACCCAGTACGCAATACTGTTTGCACCTCTGGGAAGCTGCTAGCTTCTCTAGAGCGCCCATACTTGACTCTGGTAGTGGATGACAACTCGTCTTGCTTTGCTTTTACGACGATTGCTTTCAAGACACAGTTTGTGCATGACCAATAAAGCAGGTGGTTTTCAGTTTACACCCGACCAAAAGCGCACGTCTATGCGAAGAAGTGAATTACGAAGATCATTACCGTTCAACTCCTACAGGAAGTTCTCCATAATTGAGCCACATCACATGCAGAAACGCCGCAGTCGCACGTTGATTGCGCAATGGGCCAACGAGGTATGACACAGGCATTAGAAAACAGTTTCCATTTTTAACCCGGCCACTTGGTACTTGGTACTCTATTGTGCAGTCTATTGTCGGCTGTCTGGTCAGGAATTATCGAACAATAAAGCTAGGTAAAAGTGTATAAATGTCATCGGTAGGTACTACACATAAATAATCTGAATAGAGTACTGTCGTTATGTTCAGCTTACATCACAACTGCTTTCTGGAGTAATCGCGAGTACTGCTTTCTATTTGGTTTCATCTTGGGTCGCATGAGAATTCCGAGAAGTGAGATTAGGAGCACAGGTGAGTCTTTGATTGGAAAGTGAGGTTGGATTTTGTCTTCGTAAAATCTCTTCGCGCCGCGCATTAAGCCTGCCAGATGGACACGCCAGGCTTCTGCCTCCCATCCTAACTGTCGAACTTCGTGTAAGTTCAAAAATGGGACTAAAGAGATGTCTTCAAGCTCTTTCAAGCAGTCACGGGCCCCGGTGTTAAGGTTTCTGCTTACGAGGCTCCATCAGTATATGAGAAAGGCTGCAGATTTCCAAGTATATATCAGATCTCTAATTTACGAGCCCCTTCCCACTTCAGTTGGCCCAACTCTTGAAATCTTAGTTTTTTTCTTATCAAACACAAACAATAAAAATGCAGCAGGGTGTTATAGGTGTAAAATATTAACAATGAATATCTTGATAATGTATAGTAGAAAACACCAACTTTATCACTCCCTAATCAAATTTGCAGCATAAAAATAACACATGTTGCAATTACAGCATATCAACCTATTTTCATTTCAATGCATAATAAGTCTATAACGCATAGGTGGCTGTGAAAAATAAAAGTCATGACAATTGTTTTTATAAATCACAGCTGTCAGAATATGTTTAAAATAGTTTTGGGTAGTTAAGGTTTTTAAAATGAGTAGAGGAAAGGTTACCAGTGAGAAAATTCGGTTACTGATAATTAATTTTTTTAATTTTGGGAGATCAAACTCAGAAATTGCAACTTTGTTAGACTTATCGCGGTACAGTGTGAGAAATAATGTTAGAAGATATAACGTAACTGGTTCAGTTAATATCAAGCCACGATATGTGAAAAAAAGTAATATCACAAATGCCGACCGAAGAGCATTAAGAAGAATAATCGTGAAAAACAGGCGTGCCAATTATTTACAATTAAGTGCTCTGTGGAGTGACGCTGTTGGAAGGAGAATTTCGAGATCCACAACTCATAGAGAGGCCCACAAACTGGGGTTTAGCACTTGCAAGGTAAGCTTTCTTATAAAAAAAAGTGAAGTAAAAACCCTAAAGTTGCACAACTTGTTTATAGGCCAAATAAGAGCCACTATTAACTACACTGCAAAAGAAAAATCAGCTTAGATGGGCTAAAGAACATAGACAATGGACACCTCAACAATGGTGTGCAATACAATGGAGTGATGAGGTCCGATTCGAAGCTTGTGTTGGTGACAGTCGCAGTAGATTTATTCGCAAAAAAAAATGAAGCATTCCATGTTCACTGTCTGAAGAGAAAAGTGAAATTTCCAGCATCCATTATGGTCTGAGGCAGTATGTCATCAAAAGGGGTGGGAAAACTTCATTTTATTGATGGAAATGTGGATACAAATAAATATTTGGCAATCTTAGAAGAATCGCTATTACCAGTGATGGAAGAATATTTGACTTCCGGCCAAGATTTTGTGTTTCAGCAAGATGGTGCAGCGTGCCATACCACAAAAAAGACTATAAAATGGATGGAAGAAAATAATGTACCACTTTTGAAATGGGTTTCTAGCAGTCCAGATCTGTCACCTATTGAAACTTTGTAGCACGAGATAAAAAAGGTTCTACGACAACATCCTGCTCGTACAATCACCGATCTGAGACAAAAGCTTCAAGAAATATGGGATTGTTTTACGCCAAATTTTTGCCAAAACTTGGTTAACACTATGCCCCAAAGAATTTCAGCCGTAATAAAAAATAAGGGTGATGTTACCCAATGGCAATCTTTCAATTGTTGCTTGCACATTGTTTATTTGTTCAGACGTTCTATCAGTTATAGGTCTAAGTGATTTCAAATATGTATTTTTTACGACTAGAGTGTATCTAAAATGTTTTTGAGAAAATAAATTGTTTTAGAAGTAAATAGTTTCGTCATGTTTAGTTTAAAAAGGCATATTTTGGTACAAATCTTGAAGTGGGCCAACTGAAGTAGGAAGGGGCTCGTACATCTGACCATCTCATTATGGTTGATATAGTTCATCTATCGCAGAAAAAAACTAAACCCAAATATAGTCACGGATAGTTATTTCATATGATCAAACACCGGAATGCCGGCAAGGCTACATGCTCCGCCCTCCGGGTTTGGCAGCGGTCCTCTATATTCTCTCGACAGATTTTGCCAAATAACAGTTATCTTCCCGTTCCTTGAAATATGTCAGGCGCTTTCTATGAGAAATTGCGACATACAGAAAAGGACCTATGGGAGCTTTAATTGAATTTACCCCAGTCAAAATTGTGGAAGGTGGGATAGCGTTATTTATAAAGGCAATTGATGGATTCAAGTAAACAAATCTGAAACGAGATCGCAGACTATGAGCACATTGTGGAGTCTTGGGTTTACGTCAGTGCTGGGTGTTTTGTAAAATGTAAAGTCCATCATTGTAAACACGTACACAATTGCAATGTTATACACCTTGATATTCAGGCAAAAAATGTATACAATAAAAAACATTAGTTCATTTAGATTGCTTGCATATATGCAATGCTTTAAATTAATTAGGAAAGACAATCCATCCGTTTGACATTTGCGAGTAAACCTATCTTCACTTATTGCTATTTTACACCTTGTTTTTACCATTGTATACATTGTATACATACTGCTTACTTTGTATACGCGTTAATGATGCATTGCATATGTCTTGTATACATTGTTTATGTTCTGTCTACATCAATGTATACGCGAAACCGGCCCATAACTGGCTTATGTTTCAGCTGGATATTGTAGATTAAGAAGCTCGACTTTATCTTTAAACACCAATAGCTAGTGATGGAAGAAGGTCGCTGACATGTATGCAATAGAGGCAAACCGAACTTTGGGTAAAACCGTCGCCGATATTGTATTGTAAAATAACATGACCTTACTTCAGCTAGGCAAACACATGTTCGATGAAAAGCTAAGATGAGGTATATAATCTCAAAATATGCGTTCATTTTTTGAAGCACACTTCGTTTCTAATAAGTTAATTTATGGAAATCACATTTTCCGGCATATTCCAACACATGGCTACCAATTAGTCTTCACTATGGATACATGATAAATTATCATTGTTAACATATTCCTATTTCTTAAAAAAGACGGTATTTGCATTTAGAAGCTGTAATCATTGGGTAGTATGCTAATATTTGGTTTGTTAATTGTACGTCACAACGCGTGATCAATCTTATACGTCAAACGTTTGTCTTTTTAATTGATACCATGCTGTGTGGAGCATAAAGTAGCTTAATTATGTTGAATTATCGAACGTAAGATTTCAATTTCACGTCCGAATTTTATTTTGTGTCAGACAAATTGTGCGTTTTCCTGGATAGCATTGATCATCCAACTGTAAAGTAGTTAATCAATGACCAATTATTTACGTATTGACGACTTTTGATTGATGATGTATAAACATGATGAAGATATTGGAACTATCTGAACGCCAAGCTTAGGTAAGTCGTAGCCTAATATTGGAGAACTGAAAGCTGGAGAGGAACTTCCAGACGGACAATAGTTTTCTAGTCCGGTCATACCTTTTGACATTTCCAACCCATTTAAGCTGTCAGATTGCTTAATCACTAAAATCCTACTTGATGTAATACAATGTAATATAGCTGCCGCGATGCGTACAAATTCCACAGTCATTCTTGCCTAATTGTTATAGCCCTTCTGATGAAAAATGATGACCAGAAAAATAACTATCTCTTGCTGACAAAATTGCCAAATAATAGTGGAGATATAGCTGATATAATTGCGATACATGGTCAAGCCGTTTAGAGATTCAAAAATGGATCTTTTACGTAGGAATGCTTGTGCAAACGTACTAGAATTATTTTTCCATGAAAAAACGGTCAATGTTCATATGGACTTTCCAAAGCCTCAACTGGGTAATATTCACCAAAACAATATGTCTACATGTTTTTTTTAACAAGATAGAATACACGTCATACGCTTTCACGATGAAGTTTTTGAAATACGGATGTCCACTGGCACGGGAGCTCATGCAACCTAGGACTGCTTGATATTTTTCTAGGGTAAATCAAAGATAAAGTCCATTCACACACTTGACAAACTACTAAACACCTGAAGCACTTGCTGCTGAAACCGAGCCACAGCAAAATGCCAAAAGTCGAATAGAATATTATTTATAGAGCATGACTTCTCTACATTCTGACAATATAATCATTTTCTCTAAAAGAGTGGGTTTTGTTCAATTTACCCATTTCCATGGTTGTAAATTCGTATTAAGGTCCAGCCCACAAATGCGCGATTCTGTATCGATTTGAAGAAACGAGGCTACCAACTTTCAACTTAGTGCAGTTACAAGGCTCAATTGATCCAGAATCAAGACTAAAAATATGCTTCACTAGCTTGTTGCCTCAAAAATTGTTTTAAGATTTAATTTTTGAAAAGGTGGATAAACAACTAAGCTAGAGATATTCTCTCCATATTTTTTCTCTATTGCATTAGTGACTTAAAAATGTTTTTATTGTAATAATCTATGTTCAAGCTAGAATTAAAGAAGCGTACTTACGTAAAATATAGGGCGACTATCTACTGAAATACGTACCTGAAACAGAAGATAATATTATTACTAAAGCAAAACATAATTAATAGTATACAAATTGGCTGGCATTTTCACTCATTCAGCTGCATAATATTCTTAAGTATTTCAACTTAATATCTAAAAGACTTGCAACGGAGAATACCCATGCTACTACTCATGGATTGGTATAATACATAAACGCATCGCTCAAGCGGACGTTGATAGTAATCCTCAAACTATGAGCTCAACAGCTGCGTGCTTGCATATATTGGCAAAGAGAAATTATAATACTATAACTCCAACTAATTCTGCGTATCTGTTCGCATACATGACAGACGCTAACTCCGATTTACGATCACTTCATAACAAACTTTATAGTCGCATTCTCACTTTTCTCTCTTTCTTTCACGTTTCTTGGGGTGTTGTATCGGCACCTTCCCACATAAATTTCAGCAGTCATACGATATACGCTGGTACTTAGATTTTATTAGTTCTCATA